TCCCAGAGCCAGTTACATCACTGTCTGCACCAGAGGAGCTTACACTCTATTGTTATTAATATACATTGATATAGCTCTGACCTATTCCATAGTGCTATACAGAGGACACTGAGCCAGTCACATCAGTCTCTGCACCGGAAGAGCTTACACTCTAATGTTCCACCACAGTCACAGACTATTACTATTCTACATTTCTATAGCACTGACATATTCTGCGGTGCTGTACATTAAACTAGACAGATCTGTTTCTGCCCCGGAGGGGATGACATGACTCCCTCACCTATTATAATCACATTACATGACTACAGTGCTGATACTGTGACATATTTTGTAAGGTAGAAAATATCCGCAGGTCCATCCAGTTCAACCGAAAATGACCTATTCTGTGTCACTGTACAGGGGGCACTGAGCCAGTCACATCAGTCTGTGCGTCAGAGGAGCTTACAATCTAATGCTCTCATTAGAGTTATATAGGCAATGTTGTTTTAAATTTATAACATTCTAACATACTCCTTAGTGCTGTGCGGACTATATTTAAATACATCAGTCGCTGCCCCAGAGGAGCTTACACTCTAATGTCTTTATAAAAGATACACATTGTTGTCCAAATGTAATTACTGTATATAGCTGTAGTGCTGTACAGAGGGTACCAAGGCAGTCACATCTGTCTCTGTACCAGAGGAGCTTACACTCTGATGTCCCCAATACAGTCACAGACTATTATTATTATACATTTATATATCTCTGATATATACTGCAATGCTGTACAGAGAACACTGAGCCAGTCACATCAGTGTCTGTACCAGAGGAGCTTACACTCTAATGTCCCCAGTACAATCACACACTATTATTATTATACATTTATATAGCTCTGACATATACCGCAGTGCTGTACAGAGAACACTCAGTCACTAACATCAGTATGTGCACCAGAGGAGCTTACACTCTAGTGCCTTTATACCAGTCACACACACATTATTGTTCATATGCAGTTAATGTATATAGCTCTGACACTGAGCCAGCCACATTTTCTGCATCAGAGGAGCTTACAATCTAATGTTCCACCACAGCCACAAATTATTATTATTATACATGTATATTATTATTATTATTATTATACAGTATTTATAAAGCGCCAATAGTTCGCTCAGCGCTGTACATTACAAAGGGAGACAGAACATGTGACAGAACAATACCAATACAATGCAAAACATGAGGGGATCATAGCCCCGACATATGCCGCAATGCTGTACAGAGAACCCAACAATTCAGTCTCTGCACCAAAGAAGCTTACACTCTAATGTCCTTATAACAGTCACAGACACACCATTGTTAATAGGCAGTTATATAGTTCTGACATATACTGCAGCGCTGTACAGAAAACACTGAGCCAGTCATATTTTCTGCACCAGAGGAGCTTACACTCTAATGTCCCACCACAGTCATACAATATTATTATTATACATTTATACAAGATGATAATAATAGTAAAATATGATTGGTTCTGTTTATGTTTTCCCCCGCAAAAAAAAGCCGTTTTCCGTTTTCTATGCTTGAACGATGTTTGTTTAATTATATATATTTATTTTATTTATTCTGTATATATGTAAATATGTATTTATTATGTTGTTTGTTTGTAAGATTTTTAATAAACAAATATTTACACTAATGTCCTCCCACAGTTACAAACTATTATTATTATAATTTTATATTTCTATAGCTCTGACATATATCATAGTGCTGTACAGAGAACACTGAGCCAGTCTCATCACTGTCTGTACCAGAGGAGCTTACACTCTAATGTCCCACCACAGTCATAAATTATTATTATACATTTCTATAGCTCTGACATATATGGCAGCATGGTACAGAGATCACTGAGCGAGTCACATCAGTGTCTGTACCAGAGGAGCTTACACTCTAATGTCCCACCACAGTCATAAATTATTATTATTATTATTGTTATACATTTCTATAGCTCTGACATATACCACAGCGTTGTACAGGGAACACTGAGCCAGTCACATCAGTCTCTGCACCAGAGAGCTTACACTCTAATGTCCCACCACAGTCATATGTCCCACCACAGTATTATTATACATTTCTATAGCTCTGACATATTCTGTGGCGCTGTACAGAGAACATGGAACCAATCTCACCAGTCCAATATAATGTCTCCCCTCCCCACCTCATCACTGTGCAACCAGGGGAAAGAGAGCCCATCAAACCATGCATAGCTCTGACATATACCACAGCGATGTACACAGAACACTGAGACAGTCTCTGCACCGGAGGAGCTTACACTCTAATATCTCCCCTCACCACACTCACCACATGATTATTATACATTTCTATAGCTTTGACATATACCACAGCGATGTACACAGATGAGCTTACACTCTCACTAAATTTCCCCCCTCCCCCGCTGTCACACACTATTATTATTATACATTTATATGCCATAGCTCTGACATATACCGCAGTGCTGTACTGAGCCAGTCTCTGAACCAGAGGAGCTTACGCTCTAATGTCCTCACACAGTCACAGACTATTATTATTATACATTTCTATAGCTCTGACATATATCATAGTGCTGTACAGAGAACACTGAGCCAGTCACATGATCCGCACCAGAGGAGCTTACACTCTAATGTCCCACCACAGTAACAGCACTGGAGACAATTGAAGCAGAATACATTTGAGATAAAAGTATGAGTTCAGATGTTAAGAGATGGATATGGTGGGAGTTGAGCCCAGGACCCCGTAGCTGTGACCCCAGGACCCCGTAGCTGTGACCCCAGGACCCCGAGCTGTGACCTAAGGACCCCGGAGCTCTGACCCCAGGACCCCAGAGCTGTGGCCCTCAGGACCCCGTAGCTGTGACCCCAGGACCCAAGCTGTGACCCCAGGACCCCAAGCTGTGACCCAAGGACCCCGGAGCTGTGACCCCAGGACCCCGGAGCTGTGACCCCAGGACCCCAGGACCCCAGGACCCCGAGCTGTGACCCCAGGACCCCAGAGCTGTGACCCGAGGCCCTGATTATGGAGACCTGTGCCCTGCATAAACAGTTGTGTTCAAAATAATAGCAGTCAGACATCACTAACCTGATCAATCGCTGTGTTTGGTAGAAATGATATTTCTACATGGCAAATAATTTACTAGCAGGTGTAGTAGAGTAATAGAAATCCAACAGACCCAACAGTCATGACATGCATGCTGCTGATTCTGTGTAATTGAATCACTAATTGAAAGGGGCATGTTCAAAATAATAGCAGTGTGGAGTTCTATTAGTGAGGTCATTCATTCTTTGAAAAACAGGTGACAATTATTGCCCTTATTTAAGGAAGGAAGGCAGCAAATGTTGTACATGCTGGTTACAGTGCATTTCTCTCTGAAATTCTGAGGAAAATGGGTCGTTCCAGACATTGTTCAGAAGAACAGCGTACCTTGATTAAAAAGTTGATTGGAGAGGGGAAAACATATAAAGAAGTGCAGAAAATGATAGGCTGCTCAGCTAAAATGATCGCAAATGCTTTAAAATGGCAACCAAAACCTGAAAGACGTGGAAGAAAGCGAAAAACTACCATTCGAATGGATAGAAGAATAGCCAAAATGGCAAGGACTCAGCCAACAATCAGCTCCAGGAAGATGAAAGAAGGTGTAAAGTTCCCTGTGAGTACTGTTACAATTAGAAGACGCCTATTTGAAGCCAAGCTATCTGCAAGAAGCCCCCGCAAAGTCCCACTGTTGGAAAAAGACATGTGCTGAAGGGGTTACAATTTGCCAAAGAGCACATTGACTGGCCTAAAGAGAAATGGCACAACATTTTGTGGACTGATGAAAGTAAGATTGTTCTTTTTGGGTCTAGTGGCCGGAGACAGTTTGTCAGACGACCCCCAAACACTGAATTCAAGCCACAGTACACTGTGAAGACAGTGAAGCATGGTGGTGCAAGCATCATGATATGGGAATGTTTCTCATACTACGGTGTTGGGCCTATTTATCGCATACCAGGGATCATGGATCAGTTTGAATACATCAGAATACTTGAAGAGGTCATGTTGCCTTATGCTGAAGAGGAAATGCCCTTGAAATGGGTGTTCCAAGACAACGACCCCAAACACACCAGTAAACATGCAACATCTTGGTTCCAGAACAACAAGATTGACGTTATGGAGTGGCCAGCCCAATCCCCGGATCTTAATCCAATAGAAAACTTGTGGGGTGACATCAAAAATGCAGTTTCTGAGGCAAAACCAAGAAATAGAGAAGAACTGTGGAATGTAGTCCAATCATCCTGGGCTGGAATACCTGTTCACAGGGGCCAGAAGTTGGGTGACACCATGCAACACAGATGTACAGCAGTTCTCAGAAACAGTGCTTATACAACTAAATATTCATTAAGTGATTCAAAGGAAAGCAAAATCTTCAAACATTTTTCAGTTTATATAGTGAATGTTTGAGTTTGTAAAGAAGAATACAAACACTGCTATTTTTTTGAAGTCTAATATTCACTTTTCTTCAATTTTTTTAGAGGAACAACACAAATTTGATATATTTTTCTTCATGTTTTGATTTGGAATAGAATGTGTAGTGTTCCCAATGCATTTGTGTGTATGGAAATAAAAGCTATTAGAAGGATTTTCAGCTTTATTCACTTTTTTCAACACACTGCTATTATTTTGAACACAACTGTATATTTTTGGTTCCATCGTGAATTACCAGCACGCTGGCTTCGGTCCTCTGTCCCTGATCCGTGTCGTGTGTCGGAGGGCTGAGCACATTTATTGGATTCTTCATGTCGGGGAATCATTGACTTGTGTTTATCTGTGAATTTCTAGAGGAATATTGAGCTCCGGGTCGTAGAACACTGACATAGAAGTTATTAATGGTGAAGGAGGAAAATCTGGAGGAGAAATGAATAGACTGGAAAATATCCGAGTAACATCCAATAATCAGCACCTTGATTGAACCTCCTCACTAGTGTGTGTCCTGCATGCTCCGCATTGGATGAACACAGCACCCAGCATGGGTGGAGGGATGGTGGTGTCTTCATTGAGAACAGCCTGACAGTCACCTGAATGCTTGGATATGTACCCATATGTCCATTGCCTGCTACTATAGGTGCACATATAGGTGATGGTGGGAACCCCTCATAATGGGCACAGCAGGTGTACAGACCTGGGAACTCAGCGCACGGATGGTGGGAACCCCTGATAATGGGCACAGCAGGTGTACAGACCCGGAAACTCAGTACAGGGATGGTGGGAACCCCTCATAATGGGCACAGCAGGTGTACAGACCTGGGAACTCAGCGCAGGGATGGTGGGAACCCCTGATAATGGGCACAGCAGGTGTACAGACCCGGAAACTCAGTACAGGGATGGTGGGAACCCCTCATAATGGGCACAGCAGGTGTACAGACCCGGGAACTCAGCACAGGGATGGTGGGAACCCCTCATAATGGGCACAGCAGGTGTACAGACCCGGGAACTCAGCACAGGGATGGTGGGAACCTCTCATAATGGGCACTAGAGGTGTGAAGACTTAATTCTTCAGCATCCTCCTAAATGACAGCATTAGGTGTGGTGACGGGGCCCCTGCTCTGCACAGTGCTCAGGAACATTTAGTGATTAGAGTGCTAGCTCTTGTGTCCAGTCCATACAGTCGTCATCCCTGTAAATCCAGACATGTAATGACCCAGGCTGTGTGGTTGAAGCGTCTGCCCAGCCGAGACCAACTGCTACCTTGTAATGCAGAGCCTCTGTTTCCAGTCTATATAATATCGGTGTAATATGTTATCATCAATCACGGGGCCACAAAAACATTCAGGACTCCGTTCATAAAATCATTGCCTCGGCATGCCTGCATCACCGCCTGCAGCTGTACACTACCCCTGTAATGTGCCTAATGTGTGTCATATGTGTATTTCCTATGTTTGTCAGCTCCATCTAGTGGCCATAATGCAGCATTTTTCTGATCGAAATATTTCAGGAGAAGATCACAATATGGCCACTAGATGGAGCTGACAATCAATGGAAACACACATATCAGTCACATTATGGGGAATATTTGCAGCAGCTTAAAAAAAACCCCCCTTTTTGCTTTTAAAAAAAAAAATTTAAAATGGGGGGGGGGGGGGGGGGGGGGGGGGGGGGGGGGGGGTTTTTTTTTTGGGGGGGGGGGGGGGGGGGGGGGGGAAAAAAAAAAAAAATTTTTTTTGGGGGGGGGGGGGGGGGGGGGGGGGGGGGGTGGGGGGGGGGGGGGGGGGGGGGGGGGGGGGGGGGGGTTTTTTTGGGGGGGGGGGGGGGGGGGGGGGGGGGTTTTTTTTGGGGGGGGGGGTTTTTTTGGGGGGGGGGGGTGGGGGGGGGGGGGGTGGGGGGGGGGGGGGGGGGGGGGGGGGGGGTTTTTGGGGTTTGGGGGGGGGGGGGGGGGGGGGGGGGGGGGGGGGGGGGGGGGGGGGGGGGGGGGGGGGGGGGGGGGGGGGGGGGGGGGGGGGGAAAAAAAAAAAAAAAAAAAAAAAAGGGGGGGGGGGGGGGGGGGGGGGGGGGGGGGGGTTTTTGGGGGGGGGGGGGGGGGGGGGGGGGGGGGGGGGGGGGGGGGGGGGGGGGGGGGGGGGGGGGGGGGGGGGGGGGGGGGGGGGGGGGGGGGTTTTTTTTAAAAAAAAAAAAAAAAAAAAGGGGGGGGGGGGGGGGGGTGGGGGGGGGGGGGTTTTTTTGGGGGGGGGGGAAAAAATTTTTTAAAAATTTTTTTTTTTTTTTTTTTGGATTTTTTTTTTTTTTTGGATTTTTTTTTTTTTTTTTTTTCCCATTTAAAGAAAAAATTTTAAGGAAAACCAAACCCAACCCCCGGGGAAAAAAAACCTTTTTTATTTTTTTTTTTTTTTAAAGGAGGGAAAAAGATTTTTTTTTGTTTTTTTTTTTTTTTTTTTATAAAAAATTTTTTTTTTTTAATTTTTTTTTTTTTTTAGGAGGGGGTTTTTTTTTCAAAAAAATTTTTTTTTTTTAAAAAAAAATTTTTTTTTGGGAAATTGGTTTTTTTTTCCAAAAAAAACAATATTTTTTTAACCAACAACCTTCCCCCCCTTTTTTTTAGGAAACCCCGGCCCTTTTTTAAAATCTCCCCCAAAACCCTAACAAACCACGCAAAAATCAATCAGACCCAAAAAAAAAGGGTTTATTTCCCCAAAAAATTTTTTTTTTATAGCAAATTTCTTTTTTTTCCAAAATTTTTTTTTTTCCACCCCCCCCTTACCAGATAAACCTAAAAACAAAATTTTTTTTTTAAAACAAAAAAAATTTTTTTTTTTTTTTTCTAATTTTTTTTTGGGAAAAACCCCAACCCCCCCAAAAGGGAAAAAAAAAAACAAAACCAAACCCCCCAAAAAAAAATTTCCCACCCACACAAAAATGAACCCCAAAAAAAAAAAAACATTTTTTTAAAAAAAGGAAAAAAAAAAAATTTTAAAAAAAAAAAAAAAAATAAAAAAAAAAAAAATTTTTTAAAAAAAAACCCCCCCCTTTAAAAAAAATTTTTTTTAAAAAACCAATACCCCCCACCCCCCCAAACCCCACAAAACCCCAAAACCGATAAAAAATTGTCAAACCCCTTCAAAAACCCCCCGGGTTTAGTTTTTTAAAACGCCCCCGGGGAATTTTTTAAATACCCGGGTGGAGTTTTAAAACCCCACCCGGGGGGGCCAAAGGGCCCCAAACCCCTCCCCCAATTTTTTTTCAAACACGGGGCCCCTTTCCCCACCCGGGCCCCAACACCCCCGGTAATTTACCCTTGGGCGGGCAAAAATACATTTAAAAAGGGCTCACCCAAAAAAAAAAAACAAAAATTTTGGGTTATTTTTTTTTTAACAAAAAATTTTTTTTTTTTAAAAAAAATTTTTTTTAAAAAAAAAAAAAATTTTTAAAAACGCCACCGGGGGGCCCCCAAAGGGCACCAAAATTTTCTTCCCCACAAAAATTTTCACAGGCACCACTTTTAAAAAAAAACCCGAACCAAAAAAGCCCGAACAACCCCCCCCCTTTTTTTTTCAAAAAACCCCCCAACTTTCCCCTTTTCAAGAAAAAAAAGGGGGGGCCCCTTTCCTTTTTTTTTTCCCCCCCCCGGGGGGTTTTTCACTTTTTTGTTTTTACATTTTTTTTTTTAAAATTAAAAATTGATTTTTTCTTTTTTTTCAAAAACACATCCAAAAAACCCCTACACCCCATTCAAATCTTTTCTCACCATTTTTGCCAAAACTTCGGTGCTTTTAAAATCGGGGGTTTTTTGAAATTTTCCCCCTTTTTCCCAAAAATTTTTTTTGGCCTTTTTTTTTTTAATTTTTGGGCCAATTTTGCGGGGCGAAAAAAAAACAAAAAATAAAAACGGGGCAAAAGCAAAAACCCCCGCTTTTTGGCTTTCCCTTTAAATTTTTTGACCGTTTTTTTTTGTTTTTTTTTTTTTAAAAAATTTTTTTTTTTTGGGGCCAATTTGTTGCGGGCATTTAAAAAAAATCAAAAAGGGGCAAAAATCCCAAAAACCCCAAAAAGGAATCACCAAAGCAAAAGAAAAAAAAAAGCTGCAGGAAAAAAGTCTGCGTTTGATCGTTTCTGCAGTGCAAAAATGCAAAACGCACCAAAAAAAAGTTTGCAAAAGGGATAAAGCAACTTTTTTCCGCAGCAGTTTGCTTTTTAGTTCAAAAACTTCAATGGAACTCCCAAAAAAAAAAAAAAAAAAAAGGGCTTTTTGCGGGTTTTTGCCCTTTTTATTTTTTTTTTTTTATTTTTTTGCCAATTTTTCTGGGCAGAAAAAAAACCCATAAAAAACCATAAAAAACGTGGCAAAAATGAAAAAAACCCTTGCTTTTATCAGTTCCTTGGTTTAATAAAAAAAATGAAACGGAAAAAAATTGCGTTTGATCCTTTCTGGGGAAAAAACAAAACACCACAAAAAGCTTTGCGAAAGGGGGAAAACGCAGACCGGGGGGAACCTACTTATTTTTTTGAGCTGTGAATTTTTGGAAAGGGGGGTTTTTTTAAAAGCAAAAAGAGCTTTTTTAACATGATTTAAAAAGGAGGAGCTGCTTGAATGCGTGGTAGGCTTTTTCCCGCATTTTTTCTGCCCCAACGAAAAAATTCCACTTGAACAAAAAAAAAAAAAGGGTGAACAAAACGCGGTAAAACCGCATCAAAAATATGTCCAAAAGCGCATGTAAAAAAGATGCAAAATGAACATGCGAATAAATGAACCAACTGCAAAAATGCTAAAAAAGCATTATTACTGCATAGGACTCGGTGTGCTGGAGCGCTAAAAAAAGCCAGAAAACTAGTGTCTATGCCACCTACTATCTAAGGTAATTGGCAAGCTGTAATATGATGACGGGTTCTTGGTTAGCAAGTGTAAATCGCCGGCAGACCTGGTTATTCTGACACTCTTGTGTCTCTGCTTACAGTACTCTTGCTATTTATCAGTCCACCGGTAGCATAGGGTTTCAAGCTGCGTGTGATACTAGGAGAGAAGCAGCATAAAGAGTCCCATCACTTCCTGCATCCCCCAGTCTTCTACTCTCTATCCTGTGAGTGGACAGTTAGAAAATGAGCTTCAAAACCTCCATGAGATAACGTGTCACTTGTCCCCTTTCATGCGCGCAGTCACAGGCTCAGTCTTTGGGGGGACACTCCTGGGGGTGGGGAGGAGGGTGCCCAGGTCCTGAGGGGGAAAGGGGGGTTTCACCTCACGGATTGACCTGGGCTCAGTTTCTTGAGGCAAGTGGGGTTAAAGCACGCTCATCAACAATCTGTTGTAGATGCCTATGTTATAATAATGTATGTAGGGTTTTATGATAGTAGTTTATATGCATATGTTTAAAGGAAGAATGTAGTTATAATGTAATGTTTGTATGTTGTAATGGTTTAGATGTAATAATTTGTTGGGTATGATGATGCTTAGTATTAAGTTTAGATGTAATGTTTGAGTTGAATGTATATTTAGATTTTGTATGAATAAGAAAAGATGTTAGTATATGAGGTATGTTGATGGTAGATGTAATGTAAGTTTTTTAGGTTGTAGAGATTGTAGGGTTATAATTTAAAGTGTCAGTGATCATGTTATGTTGTGTAGTATTTAGTAGTAAGGATTGTAATTTTTAGTAAATATTAGAATGTTAAACCAGGGGTTGGTTATATTAGTACTGTGATGGAAGGATGGTTGCTAAAAAATTTGGTATATGTGTAGAATCAATAGTGATGGGTTATGTTAGATGTAGTAAGAGTTGTAGATGTTGTTTTGTTAGTTTTAAGGATTTTTTTATGTTATGTATGATGTATTTTTATGTATGAGAGTATTTTGT